CCCTCAGAGCCAATCCTTTTCCCAAGGTTACGGATCCATATTGCCGACTTCCCTTACCTACATTCTTCCTTTGACCAGAGGCTGCTCACCTAGGACACCTGATGCGGTTATGAGTACGGTCGGGCGTGAGAGGTACCCGCAGCTCCAGATTTTGAAGGGCCGCCGGGGGCGCGCTGGACACCACAGGACGCGCGGTGCTTTGCCGGGCGCTGCACTCTATCTCCGGTTGATCCGATTCCAGGGTGGGCGAGCCGTCAAGAAGGAAAGAGAACCCTCCCCACGGCCCCCGCCGGCATCTCCGGAGCTGCTTACGATACCGTCCACCTCCACAACCCGGTTCGGGAATATTAACCCGAMCCCCTTTCGATGTGCGGCGCGCAGTGCGCCCTTGATACAAGGTTTCCACATCTCTTAGGGCCGACTGACCCATGTCCAAGCGCTGTTCACATGGAACCCTTCTCCACTTCGGTCTTCAAAGTTCTCATTTGAATATTTGCTACTACCACCAAGATCTGCACCGGGACCCGCTTCACCTAGGCTCATGCTCCAGGCTTCGCAGCAGGCGAAGCGCCCTCCTACTCGTCGCGGCGTCAGAATCGCCGCGACGGCCGAGCATAGGTCACGCGTTTCAGCGCCATCCATTTTCGGGGCAGATTGATTCGGCAGGTGAGTTGTTACACACTCCTTAGCGGATTTCGACTTCCATGACCACCGTCTTGCAATCTGTATCAATCAACACCCTTTGTGGTGTCTGGGTTAGCGCGCAGTTTGGCACCGTAGCTCGACTTTCGGTTCATCCCGCATCGCCAGTTCTGCTTACCAAAAATGGCCCACTTGGAGCTTTCATTGATCATCGGGGTTCGCTTAAGCAACCCCGAAATCTTACCTGTTTAAAGTTTGAGAATAGGTCGAGGGTGTTTCACCCCCGAGGCCTCTAATCATTCGCTTTACCCGATAAAACTGTTCAACAGCTCCAGCTATCCTGAGGGAAACTTCGGAGGGAACCAGCTACTAGACGGTTCGATTAGTCTTTCGCCCCTATAGCCAAGTCCAAGGAACGATTTGCACGTCATTATCGCTGCGAGCCTCCACCAGAGTTTCCTCTGGCCTCGCCCTGCTCAGGCATAGTTCACCATCTTTCAGGTCCCAATGGGCATGCTCAGACTCAAACCTCTCACCGCAGATCGTGGTTGGCGGACGGTGCACCCGCAGAGGGTTCCCGCCACTCAAGTTTCTTCCGCCTCGTGGGCTAATCACCCACCGGCTCGCATGCACGTTGAACTCCTCGGTCCGTGTTTCAAGATGGGCAGGATAGAGGACTTTTGCCAGCATCCCGAACACGCAGGCACCCGAATGGGCCCGCCGAAAGAGGCCCGTGCTCAAGGTCCTCCACTGCCGTGACGGCCACCCGTGGGGGGTTTCAATCGCTCCCCACCGCAATACCGGTCACAGCAACCCATGCTGGCAGGCACCCCACGTCCAACAAGGGGGGCGACAACACAGTCGCCGTCCACCCCTGCCCAGACGGGAGCGCACAACTTCCCCTCCATCCGCTTTTCGCTCGGCAATTTCAAACACTCTATAACTCTCTTTTCAAAGTTTTTTTCATCCTTCCCTCGCGGTACTTCTTCGCTATCGGTCCCTCGCACATATTTGGCCTTGGATGGGACTTACCACCCAATTGGGGCTGCATTCCCAAGCAACCCGACTCTTGGACAACACCTCGTTGCGCAGCARGGTCCGGCGGTCGACGGGGCTGTAACCCTCTTCAGCGTCCCCTTCCAGGGAACCTGCACACAGCCCGCTGCAGAGGTTGCGTCTTAAGACTACAAATCAGGGAGCAACACAGCCCCCAGATTTTCAATCTGGGCTATTCCCGGTTCGCTCGCCGCTACCAAGGGAATCCTCGTTGGTTTCTCTTCCTCCGCTTAGTTATATGCTAAAATTGGGCAGGTGCTACCGCCCGACCTGAGATCAAAAGGCAAGGCCCGACGTACCTCCACAGCTCGAGGCCGACACCCCCAACCTTAAGCCCACTTCAAGCTGATGGGAGCGAATGGAAGGCGACGACCACACAAACCGGAGGGACGACCTTACGTGCCGTTTTCAGGGAAACGAAGACCACCACCCACAAACGGGTGCTGGAGGGCAACAACAGGGCGGAGCGAAACGCACCACTCTGGGCTGCGGCCCCCACAGGCCCACTCGGAATGCTCTCCAATTCCCTTCCACTTTAGGGTATCGACGCTCTCCAAGTGGGAAGCGAGGGAAGCCACGACCACGGACCCCACCACTCTCCGAAACGGAAGGTGCTGAGGTCGTGAGGAATCCAATGATGCTGAGGCGGGCGTGCCCTCGGCAGAAGCCTTGGGCGCCACGTGCGTTCAAGGTATCAATGGCTCACGGATTTCTGCAATTCACATTAAGTATCGCATTTCACTGTGCTCTTCATCGTTGCGAGGGCCAAGATATTCGTTTGCCGAGAGTTCTACAATATGGTGCCGTTTTGACAGGACCGACCCCTCGACCAGAACGGAACAGGGCCGTCAACCCAGACTGCGAAATATCAGAGCAGGTATATCAATAAGAAGTTGCAAAGCCATCACCACCAGTCGCTGCCACGGACCCGCCCGACACCCCGTTCCGGGGGCTAGGTAGGGCACCGGGGAGCAGCGGGGAACGAGAATGCAAGCGCTGTCTCCTCCCCCCCCTCCCCAACCCGACACCACCCCGTTCACGACCAAAACCCTCCCCCAACAGCCCTCCACCCCGAGATTCCGACCACCTCGACTGTGTCGAGGACGACGATCTTTCCAGAAAGGAGAACCCTGTTGGGAAGAAAGGCAGGACAAAACGGGGAGGGGCCGAGGACCCCGCAACACACCCCACCTCTAGCCTCTACAACGACCCTCTATCCCCAAACAAGCCACAAGCTCCGCACAAAGCCGAGGTCGAGGCCGGGATGAAAAGGAGGTCTGGACAAAGCTGAGACGGGAAGGAGCGGGGGTACGCAGGCCAAGGACAGCCGCCACCACCCAACATCCCGCCTCGACCCTCCCGCAGGGCTGTCCGTGCCCGTACCAACCGCCATCCCGACCAGAAGTCCAGCGTGGGGCTGGGCCGAGGTAACAACCTGCGGAGGTGAGACGGGATGAAGGGGGAGCAACGCCGCAAGGCCCCATACCCTGCCCACTCCCCCAACCCTCGACAAACACCACGCGCCCCTCTGCCCCGAGCCAGCCGCCAGCTAGGCACTAAGCGCAAGATGCTGCTGAAAGGGAAGAGAAAAGCGATTGCAGGGAGGATGGGGGCAAAGGGCGGCGGAAGGGCGAGCATGCCAGCGTCCCACACCCCGAAGATCGGCCATTCACGTGTCAATGATCCTTCCGCAGGTTCACCTACGGAGACCTTGTTACGACTTCTCCTTCCTCTAAATGATAAGGTTCAATAAACTTTTCACAGCACCCCCTGCGGCAAACCGCCGAGATCTTTGCAATCCAGACACTTCATCGAACCATTCAATCAGTAGGAGCGACGGGCGGTGTGTACAAAGGGCAGGGACGTAATCAGCGCGAGCTGATGACTCGCGCTTACTAGGCATTCCTCGTTCAAGATCGATAATTACAATAATCTATCCCCGTCACAATGAACCTTAAGAAGGTAACCCAGGCCTTTCGACCCAGGCAAGCGACTCGTTGGATTTATCAGTGTCGCGCGCATTCGGCCCAGAACATCTAAGGGCATCACATACCTCTTATTGCCTCTTACTTCCGTTGGCTAGTCGTCCAACAGTCCCTCTAAGAAGCTGGCCACGAGGAAAGGTCCCCGCGTAGCTATTTAGCAGGCTGAGGTCTCGTTCGTTAACGGAATTAACCAGACAAATCACTCCACCAACTAAGAACGGCCATGCACCACCACCCATAGAATCAAGAAAGAGCTCTCAATCTGTCAATCCTTGCTATGTCTGGACCTGTTTAGTTTCCCCGTGTTGAGTGAAATTAAGTCGCAGGCTCCACGCCTGGTGGTGCCCTTCCGTCAATTCCTTTAAGTTTCAGTCTTGCAACCATACTCCCCTCGGAACCCGTATGCTTTGATTTCTCACAAGGTGCTGGCAGAGTCATCCAAAAGACATCCGCCAATCCCTAGTYGGCATCGTTTATGGTTGAGACTAGGACGGTATCTGATCGTCTTCGATCCCCCAACTTTYGTTCTTGATTAATGAGAACGTCCTTGGCAAATGCGTTTGCAAAAGTTCGTCATCCATAAATCCAAGAATTTCACCTMTGACAATGGAATACGAATGCCCCCAACCGTCTCTATTAATCATTACTCCAATCCCGAAGACSAACGAAATAGGACCAGAGTCCTATCGCGTTATTCCATGCTAATATGTTCAGAGCACAGGCCTGCTTTGAACACTCTAATTTTTTCAAAGTAACAGCGCCGGCTCTGGATCCCAGACAATAAAAGCAAGGAACGCATTCCCGGCAAGAAAGGCGAAAGGGHCGGTACACGCCCGCAAGAGCGGACCAGCCCCTCCCACCCAAAATCCAACTATGAGCTTTTTAACTGCAACAACTTAAATATACGCTATTGGAGCTGGAATTACCACGGCTGCTGGCACCAGACTTGCCCAACAATGGATCCTCGTTCAAGGTGTTTACGACTGTTCTCATTCCAATTACCGGACTCGAAAGAGCCCAGTATTGTTATTTATTGTCACTACCTCCCTAGTTCAGGATTGGGTAATTTATGCGCCTGCTGCCTTCCTTGGATGTGGTAGCCATCTCTCAGGCTCCCTCTCCGGAATCGAACCCTAATTCTCCGTCACCCGTTACCACCATGGTAGGCCTCTATCCTACCATCGAAAGTTGATAGGGCAGAAATTTGAATGGAACATCGCCAGCTCAAAGGCCATGCGATTCGACAAGTCACCATGATTCGCCGCAACAACGGGCAAGCCCGGATCGGCCTTTTATCCAATAAATACATCCCTTCCAGAAGTCGGGATATGCTGCACGTATTAGCTCTTGAATTACCACGGTTATCCGAGTGGTAAGGAAACCACCAAATAAATGATAACTGATTTAATGAGCCATTCGCACTTTCACAGTGCAAAGTGTTCACACTCAGACGTGCATGGCTTAGTCTTTGAGACAAGCATATGACTACTGGCAGGATCAACCAGGTAGCGGGTGTGACGAGCAGCCGCAAGGAGCGATGGCCGAGGCGCACGTAGGCACNGCTCAAAGGCCATGCGATTCGACAAGTCACCATGATTCGCCGCAACAACGGGCAAGCCCGGATCGGCCTTTTATCCAATAAATRCATCCCTTCCAGAAGTCGGGATATGCTGCACGTATTAGCTCTAGAATTACCACGGTTATCCGAGTGGTAAGGAGACCACCAAATAAATGATAACTGATTTAATGAGTCATTCGCAGTTTCACAGTGCAAAGTCTTCACACTTAGATGTGCATGGCTTAGTCTTTTAGACAAGCATATGACTACTGGCAGGATCAACCAGGTAGCGGGTGTGACGAGCAGCCGCAAGGAGCGATGGCCGAGGCGCATGTAGGCACGTCACGCCGGATAGCCTACCAAAAAAATGTCGAACAATTGTGGAACGTGCAATGAGCTGCCGCGACGCCACGAAGTCCGAGTGTTTGAATTGTAGGTGAACTTCCCTCCGTAGGCCATCTCCAACGGCAAGGTMCCGCACAATCCAACACAGCCCGCCGCACCCRCCCAAGAGATTGGCTGCGAACAGCACCCGCCCACACCACACCHAGAGATCGCAAGTTAACCACACTACCCGAACAACGGCCCGCGCGAAGGAACCACCGACAGCTTCGGCCCACAGCCGGATGCCACCGCCBGCCCAAAACGTACCGACAGCGAAGTGCACAACCTCATCTCTCCATCGAGAAACGAGGGTGAAGAGAGAAACGAATGCACCACGCTTCCAACACGCCCGGACCGACGGAAAGCCTCCACCACGGGGGCGCAAAAGGAACACAACCCCTCTCCCCCTCGGGATCCACATCGGCCGGTTGCCGCGGGCACCACCAACAGCACTCGACGCAGGCGAAACCCAGGAGACAGAGGACAGTAGCCTTCGAAGCCCACAACCTAAGCGCAGCGGAACCACGACGCAACAAGATCCGTCACGGTGTGCAGCATATCGAGACCACAGGATGAGGGACACGACGGGCACAAGCGCGCATTCCAAAAAGTCGGGCGTATGACGGGCCCAGCCAATGACGCCGTCGGAGCGTGCATCACGCATGCCACAAGTCTCCGCCCTCGCATACGGTATCGACCATAATGATGATCGATTGTCCACGAAAGAGTAGTAATTCAGGATTCCGAGTATTCTCTGATTGTAGAATCTTAATATGTCAGCATGATCCATGGGGACTATTCCACGTTTTGCCGTGGGTATAAAGTCTCCTTTCAAAAATCCATGTTCAGCACGTGCATGGCCGAGGCCACCTGCGCCACCACTCAATGGCGCTGCTCAGATGGCGAAGAGCGCAGAGCGTGCTCACCAAGTCCTTACACCCCCTCAACACAAACGGAAAGCGTCGTTGTGAGTGCAGACACGAAGACGACACCACAAAAAAGCCGCAACAGCTCTCCCCGTAACCTACGGGATGACGGTGCCGAAGCTGAGAGCCGGTGACGAGCACCTCCGCCTCCGCACCCTGCAAACAACCGCCATCCGGACCGCCGTCGGCGATCAGGCGCCAATCATCGCAAGACGATGAGCGAGGGTGAACGCAASGATCCACAACCCGGCACCACGGCATAGGAAAGCCCCGACAGCCGCGACCGCCGCCAACGACCACCGAGCTGTCGTGAAATAAGCCCCTGGGAGAGACGACCATGGACCCGAACGGCGCCGCAAAAATGTTCGCTCGACCACCAAAGCGCGACTTGCCCGTCCCTAGCAAACTGGAAACCACCCAAAGCGTGTGCAGAGAGTCCCYCGTAACTCGAGTACAAGGTCCCAAAACCCACGCCCGGAACGTCGCCTTCGTCGACTGCAAGGGGGCTGCTAAGCGCGCAGGCCCCTATAAGCGTGCAAACGGGACTCCGAACCGCCAACCAYCGACTGTTTGGCACATCCGGAGGGTGCTCACTGAGCCATCCGCCGAGGGACCTGCACATGTCCCTTTCCAGCAAGCTGACTCAACAGACCCCAAAGGCGATGTCCCCCTCAGGACCTTATCCCTTTCCGCTCTCAATAAGACGCCTCTGGACCTTCGATCCTGGGAGACCCCCTTTTCTCGGGGTCGTTCCTACGCACGAGTGGCAGTGCGCGGTATCTGCTGCCCCCACAAAATTCGACACCTCAAAAGTCCGTCCCATCTCCGTCCCTTCCACACACAAAGGGATAAGGGGAAGGGCC